AATACAATTTTTATTTAACCTAATTGAAAAGAAATTTCACTTCATGAAGCTCTCTTAATATATGCAAATCTCTTGCCCTGTTTTTTATTTCATGCTTTTTTGTGCCCCCATGAAAACACGCTGGCCCCCTCCTTGCCCCCTGGTGCATTTGGTCTAGATCCACCACTGCATATCATATCCAAGGTTAGCCAAACATAATTAAGGGAAAAGATTTCAGCTATGTCCACCAAAATATGCCAACTTTGCTGCAGCCCAATCATACCACTAAATAAAGAGACCACAAATATTGTTGCACCAGATTTCCCTGCTTAAAAAAAAAACACGGTTAAAATGCTTCCCAGGCTTTAACGCCGGATGTAAAAACCTTAAAGGATTTATTCCTTTGCATCAGCAACTTCTTGACCTCCATTCTTAGGCTCTAAATCAGAGACCAAAAGGCAACAAACAGATGAGCAAAGATTTTATTGGCAGATTGAGAGAAGAGTATTTAAAGTGTACACTCTGTTGCAGAAGAATCATTTTACAAGCAATGAAGATATATTTAGAATTACTCTCTAGAGCATTTTTACTTGGAACAATTGTAAACATAAGAAAACAATGGTTTCTAAAAACCTCACACACACAGAAGGTGCACATTAACTTAAATCCAGACACACAACACAGTGTCAATATACATGACGAGCATGTTTCAGTAAACTAATCATCATCGCTAACAGGAGGCAACGCAATCAAATCAGATATACTTGGGTCCATGTTTAGCTTGTGGAATGTGTGTTAAAAGACATCTCAGCTTTAATTAGCGCTAAATGAGGATTGCTGGGTTTCACTTTAAGTTTATGATCGGAAACACGTGGAATTGATAAAAGAAGTCACAAATCTGTGTTTGTTTCACTCTGACTGTGCTAAGACCACAAGAACATTACTCACCTCTAAAGCCTCTATTCATCATGCAGTTGTCAAAAAAAGCATCCAAATCTGAACAGTGATCCGCTCTGAGAGTTTGGTTTACATTCCACATGTCAACGTCTAAAATAACAGTACTCTGATACAGAAGTAGATTGCATTGTTAGGCAAATTTCACTACAATAATTAAAGAAAAAAAAACTTAAATATTTTTATTACTGCACTCTTAACCCATGCAGCTTCAGTAGTTTCCTTTTTGTCGCTCGATATATTAGCCAAACCTTTAGGGAGCAGGATTAATTTACAGCGCCGAGGAAGCAGCTACACCAGCCATACAAAACACAGGGATGAGGATCGTCGATATTTCGGTTTGCGCTCATTTTTGACCAATACATACAGCTTAATGGTCCGGGTAAACAAAGCTACCGGCGAGAATCATTTACAAGAAGGTGCACAGTACATGGGGAATTTTAAGAAAAGCAGTTAAAGCCCAACGAAAAACAGAAACTGTTATATGATATAAATGATGCCAGGAAACTTATGCTTCTTCTCAAATTTTGTTCCATATATTTGAAGATAAAAGCGTAGTGTAATGTTGGAAAAAAAAAAAAAAAGCAATAAACACAATTCAGCACAGAAGAGTGCGAAACATTTAAAAGTCAAACTCTAAAGTTACGTTTTGTTTTTTTTTAAATGAAGGTAGAAATAATGATTTCCTATGAGTCTAGGCGACATGGCGGCTCCGCTCATTGCGGAGGGTCAGCAGCTTCGTTCTGACTTTCCTCGGCCATCTGGACCAGTTCGTTGACGGTGTGCAGCAGGTTGTAGCCGTGCTTCCTCAGCAGCTGCTGGTTGAGCCGCTGGTCCTTAAAGCCCATCTCCAGCAGCACGGCCATCATGGAAGGGTCCTGCCTGGTGGCGGGGTCGATCCCTCGCTGCAAAAAGACAGGAAGAAAAAAGGAAGAGAGGGTAGTGGTAAAAAAGGGGGAGAAAAATGAAGGTGAAGCATCTTAAAAAAGACAAAAGTTTATGTAATTTGCAAACACAATTTAATTACTAAAACTCTGCACTAATATCCCCCCAAAAAAACAAAAAAATCTATTACTTTCATTCAAGATTCTTAGTCTTCAGTCTCAGATGTAGTGCTCTACCTTAAAACTCTGCTTTCACACAAATTACACCCTCCATTACTAACAACAGCCCTTTCTAAAATCTCTGTTTTTACCCTCAAATTTGATGTTTTAGCATCTATGCTCCATTTGTCAGCAACCTCCCCCTCCTTCCTGCAAGTCTAACTTGTATTATGGCTTTAAGGGATGACATGTAAAACAACAGAACAAATTATTTTCGCTGAGTTCTGTTAACCTGAGATGTAAATAGTATATATGCAGGTTTTTAGATGGCTGTATTTAGTGGATATTTTTCTTACAAATGTATTAGGTGTAACTGAACGGTTAATCGCACCCTAAAAAGGCAATGATGTCAAAGTTAAACTTTTTTCTGCTCGTTGGAAAAGAGCAAAATACAATCTGCAACCAGAAAGGGGGCAGTTTTAACTCTCAGTATTCTTCATTTGAGGTTGAGAGCAGAGTTTTCATGGCGTCCAGAACAACACCTGAGACTGAAATCTAGCTCTTAAACTGTAAACATATTATTTCAGTACAAAAATAACAGAAACTGGCACAAAAACTTTTTTTTACTAATTTGTGTTCAGTTCCATCGATCGACTAATTTTTGTTGCTCTTCTTTAACAAATATTAAAAAATGACGTCTGCTGCTGGCTCAGTAACTGTTTACATGACACATGCACACACACATTTGCTTATGATCTGGATCTAAATAATATTTAAGGAAGTATAGCGTTTAAGCTGTAAGGATTAAGGGAGAAAGTAAGAAATATTTCCTTGAAGTAACAGCAACGACTGGAACTAAATTATTGCAAGGCATGGGTCAGTTAAGGATAGGTGTTCAAATAGGGGTGTAAATAATAATCGTTTTGTATCGATGCATCGATCTATCAGCCGACGATCCGATGTATCGATACGTCCGCAAGAATATCGATTCATGTTTTTTTTTTTCCTCCGGTCTATTTTTATCCATTTGCTCCTGGATGTAATTCTCCTCCCGTGCTGCGGTGGCGCTAAACCTATTTTGCCCTCCTACCGCTCTTCCTGGTTATACTCTTACAGCAGTGTGTTGCAGTAAGCTTGACACAGACATTTTTGATTTATGCTCAATATTGAAGCGTGGTCTGAGCTAAACGCTGTGGGTCTAGATACGGCCGAGGCGGGGAGGAAGTGGGGGCGAGTTTAGTCCGACAACGGAGGGACATGAGGACCAAAAAGAGCGGAGATCCAGGTGGAAAAAGGAGACCAGCATTCTCACGCACCTCACTCTTCTAACTGGTCCAACTTCATAAGTTATTTTCTGCAATTTCGGTCATAAAAACAAAACAAGCCGGCCTCCTGTCTGCGGTCAGCTATAATTTGGGAGAGGAGCAGTGGAGCGTCTGTGGAGGGGGCGGGGACGTCTGGAGCCGAGGTATTTCATTGCACTGATTTTATGCAGTATTTTTTGATGAAAGGCCTTGCAGAATCTATAACGCAGGGGTATTATTATTTTTTTTTTGTGAATGAGGTTTTAATAGGAATAGGTGGAGTACAACCTTTCTACTTCTGTTATTTGCTGTTGTTTCTAAAAAAAAAAAAAAAGCATAATATTACAGCTTTTATTGATATATTTCATATTTGAAACAATGTCTAGCCTGTAAGGTGTAAAAAAAAAAAAAAGAAAAAAAAAAAGAAAAAGAAAAAAAATTATCAAATCGTGGTGTATTCTTGAGTCTCGAAAATAATCGAATCGTTGGGTCAGGAAATCGATACTGAATCGAATCGCCATGATGGGTGTGATTTACACCCCTATATTCAAAGATAAAAAAAGAAACAAAAAAAGATTGTTCAAACTTGCTACATGTTCCGTTATTAAATGAAGAGAGCTAGAAAAACATCAGTTTTCAGCTTTATTTATAAGTAAACTTAACTTTAAAAACCTTTAGGACAAAATAGTCTATGTACACAGATTCCCCCTTAAAAGTAAGGGACTGGTGACTGCTGTGTCTGTGAGTCGGCACCAGCAGGATGATCTCTGTAGAGACCCAATGGCCATATTTCCTTAAATTTGACTTTTTATCTGACCTCACGAACTCTGAGCATGAATGCTAACTATTTCAAACAGATATTTTGCAGTCAGCGAGTGAGAATAATAACATGAAAGCTAAATCTTTATGCAGTTTGTCTTCAGACTCTACTTACAGGTTATTATCGCTGATATAACAGAAGATTCATTAAATTAACCCTGTAATGCCAAATGTATCATATTTGATACATACGGTTTCTGAAATGTTTTGCGTCTGACACCTTTTGTATAATTTAATGGTCAAAACTTTGCTCAAAATCCTATTGTACACAATCAGATATACCTGATAACAGAGGGCAGAAAACTACACAAAAAATAATCTTGACTTATCGCATAGTAATAAATTATTAATATCAAAAATGTACATATATTGTTAAAAGGCCAAATAAGGAATTCAAACCAAAAAAAAAGTAATTTTCTGTTTTGTTTTATTCTTGGATCGGGCTTTAAAGGGTTAAACAAGGGAAAATTTAATGACCTGGGATCTTTAACAGAATTAGAATGTTATCAAAGAGGAATTTCTGGTAACAAAATCTCTATTTTCTACATAAATTAAACTTGAGTAGTAATAACATTAAATGGAAACTGATGACAATCAATAATCTAAATCATGCATGTCATTATGGTGTATAAATAGATAAAGACAATTGTTTTGAGAAGGTTTAGAGGTAAATGAAAATAAGCTTATACTACTGTAGGACTGTGAATTTAATTCAGAATGTTTAGGTAGTGAACCATGAACATGGATGCAACAAGTTTGATCATTTTTCCCCAAGAAAAATTAAATGTCAAAAAAAAAAAAACGCCTCTTTATTTGCAGTAGTGGTGTGAGAACTTAAGGAGAGACATTTATCCCTCATAGGCAGCTGACTGCAAGCTCTACCTGCTTAGTATTAGCGAGTTAGGATTCGCCTAAAAAGGCAAATACAATTCTGAGTAAAAGCATGATTCTTTAAAAATGACAAATGCTTAATAGATTAAGAAAAGTTTGCTTGAGTCTAACTTTAACAGATTTTTTTAAATTAAATTTTACCAACAATAAAAATGCTGCTTTTATGTTTTGTTTTTTACGATTTTGCTGCAATGTTTGTGTAAATGTGACACTGGCTGGGTTTCCATTAACCATCAAATTGCACAGATTCTAATTATGAAATAGAATTTGCTAAACGCAAATACTGCAATTTAGATGTTTTGCAATAAGTTTCTATGCTTCAATTGGACTTTTTTGTGGTTGCATTGAAATTATTATATTTACCGTAAATTCCGGACTATAGAGCGCATCTGATTACAAGCCGCACGCTCTAATTTTAGAAAGAAAATCAATTTTGTAGTTTACGCCACAGGTTTCCCACGTTGTATGAGATATTTACAAATAAAGATATTACACGTGAGCATTTTTTTAAACGTTTGATTTAATCCGTATGATATAACAAATAAATACGGTACATATTATCAATGATTTTTTTTTTTTTAAAACCACCTGTAACACATTTAAATATAGGTATGTGTCGGTAACACGCAAATAACGCTGCATATACCGGTACTTTTAATTGAACAACGCAGAGAACATTGCAGCCGACCAGGATAAGTCATTAATCATTTCCTTGGTGTCTGAATGGAACAGCTTCAGCGCCATGAAAAAAGACATGTATTAGCCCTACTGTATTATAGGCCGCAGTGTTCAAACAGCGGGAAAAAAGTAGTGGCTTATAGTCCGGAATTTACGGTAACTTTTTGCTTCACTCAAGTCACATGATCTGAAACTGGGCATTACTGCCTTGTGAAAAGACAAAGCAGACCGTAAGTAGTTGGAGGATGATGGCGCGGCATATTGGGATTCATAAAGGAGACCGGGTAATTTTTACATTTAAAACGCGATGATGAGCGCAATGAACACTTTAGTCAGAGACTTAGACACCCTGTCTGTAAAAAGGAGCGCTACCGCAGGTCATTCATTCCTGCTGCCACCAGACTCTATAATAATGCACTATAACCACAATAACTCCTGTAAAAACCACTGTGCAGCTACATTATAGTTTCTTTTTATTTATTGACTGTGCAATATTCTTTGCAATATGCTGAATGTGCAATATTTCTACACCTGTATATAAGCCATCCGGATTGTACATATTTTTATTTCTCATTTTATTATTTTATTATTTTTATTTTGTTTTTCATTGTGTGCGATACAGGTACACTTGCACCTTAATCCTATTTATCTTGATATACTGTATATACCTGGATATACTGTATATATATTGCTTATTTTTAATGCACCTTTTTCCTCCCTGTTTGCACCTTCTTTAACTTCTATGCCAATATGTGACGAGTGAATTTCTCTGCTGTGAGATCAATAAAGCTCATCTAATCTAATCTAATTAAAGCCGTGGCTGAAATATGGAAATATATCTCATGTGTTTACATCCGCCATGTTGTTTTCAAGAGTTATCAGGTAAACAAACACATTTGCGTGCAATTTTAATTGCATTTCTTATTTAATTGGAATACCGCAAATGACAGTCTGCATTTTCTAAATAATCAACATCAATTGTTTGAATTCAGGTCATCATAAATCTACAACCAACCCATGTCAGACATTGGGATACCTGGCATTTAGATGTCAGGTGACCTATTTCCAAATCATAGCAGACTAGAATAAAACTGCTGTGCACTGTTAACCGTTTTGTTTTGCTTGTGCAAATACTCAAACAAGCAAATTAACAGCCACTGATAATGAAATGCTCTCACATTGGAGGTTTATTTTAGTTATAGAACACACTTTTAGGTCATGTACCTGTATGGAACAGTTAGGTCCAGTGAAGAGAGCCTTATAAGCAGATGCGGCCACAGAAAGGGCCCCTTTGACAAGTCCCTCTGTGATGCCTCCTTGGCCCCTGGTGCAAACACAGTCATACTCACTGATTACGCTAATTACATCTCAGGTTATCAGACTAAATTCTGTTGCAGTGCAGAAAGAAAAAAGGGGGGAAAAAAAAGAGACTAGAGCACAGAAATTGAAGCATAAGATGTTTTACTCTGCTGTTTTGCACCTTGGCTGCAGCGCTTTGCCCGCTCTCGGATTGTACGCCTCAAAGGCACTGCATGCTGAGCCGGCTGATCTGGACAAACCGGATGATACTAGAAAAGGAAATAACCCACAAAAAGATCTCATTAGATGATGAACATAAGTTGTTTTTTTTTCCTTCTTTGCTGAGGGAACAAATCCTGAAAACCTGCGTGCCGTGTTAGTTCCTCTGTTCTTGCAGTTGTCATGCGTTTCCTGTGCAGTCCTAACTTCCTTTAAAACTATGAAGCAACTAAGTCATGTAAACACAATGAGTCTAAACAGCAGACAGTAAAGCTAAACTGACTAATTTTTACATGAATGGATAAGCAACCTCGTATTTTTATGTGCCAGCCTATGTTGTGTTTTTGTAATGTGGTCACATCCAGACGCTGGGATGGATTAACTCACCATTTAGGTGAACCCTTGGTGGCTGTGGCTCGAATGGTTCGCAGGCTGGAGGACTGGGATCCCCAGCCAGATACAGAGCCTCTGACCTGAAACAGAAACACATATTTCACCATTTAAGGCTTCATTCTTTTCTACTCCAGATTGCTGTTCTATTTAAAGAGCCAAAAAAATCTGGAATTCAATAATCTAGGCAAGTCACAATACATTATATAAAAAAAGTATAATGTAAAAAGTATACTGCTCATAGAAATAAAGGAAACACTCAAATAACAAACCATAAATGAAATATTCTCATTGAATACTTTGTTCTGTAATAAATTCAATGTGCCGACAACTAAATTATCAAAGGAAATTAAATGCATTAACCAATGGAGGCCTGGATTTGGACTTGCACACAAAATTAAAGTGGAAAAACACTACAGGCTGATTCAGCTTTGTTGTAATGTCCTTAAAATGGGTGAAAATGAGGCTCATTATTGTGTCTGGCCTCTATGTGCCTGTATGACCTCCCTACAATGCCTGGGCTGCTCCTGATGAAGTGGCAGATGGTCTCCTGAGGGATCTCCTCCCAGACCTGGACTAAAGCATCCACCAACTCCTGGATAGTTTTTGTTCCACGTTGTTTTTGTTGATTGGTTGGGGTTTTGTTGCCCAGATGTGCTCAATCGGACTGAGGTCTGGGGAACATGCGGGCCAGTCCATAGCTTCGATGCCTTCATCTAGCACGAACTGCTCACGCACTCAAGCCACATGAGGTGTAGCATTGTCCTGCATTAGAAGGAACCGAGGGAAAACTGCACCTTCATATGGTTTCACAAGGGGTCTGAGGAATAGCAGTCATGCTACCTCTGTCGAGCACATGGAGGGCTGTGTGGCCCTCCACAGAAATGCCATCCCACACCATTACTGACACACTGCTAAACCTGTTACGCTGAAGGATGGTGCAGGCAGATCACTCTCCATGGTGTCTCCAGACTCTGTCACGTCTGTCACATGTGCCCAGTGTGAACCTGCTTTCATCTTTGAAGAGCACAGGGCGCCAGTGGCAAATTTGCATCCTGGATTTGCCAGGATTGCATCGTTTAAGCGTTTAAGTGTAGGATTTGCCAATCCTGGATCATCCAGCATGACGTGGACACCGGGCCCTCATACCATCCTCATGGAGTCGGTTTCTAACAGTTTGTACAGACAAATGCACATTTGTGGCCTGCTGGATGTCCTTTTGCAAGGCTCTGCTGCTGGGTTGTTGCCCTCCTACGGTCTCCTCCACATCTCATGGTGTACTCGCCTGTCTCTGGGTAGCACCTCCAGCTTCAGGACGCTACACTGACCGACACAACAAACCTTCTTGCCACAGCTCGCATTGATCCGCACCATCTGAGTCACTTGTGTGGGTTGCAGAATCCGTCTCATGTTACCACGAGTGTTAAAGCACCAACAACATTCTAAAGTGACTAAAACATCAGCCAGAAAGCATAGGTACTGAGAAGTAGTCTGTGGTCCCCACCTGCAGAACCACTCCTTTATTCAGTGTGTCATGCTAACTGCTAATAACATCCACCTGTTGTCTAATCCATTTGCACAGAATTGTGTAGAATTGATTGTCAATCAGTGTTGCTTCCTAAGTGGGTGGTTTGATTTCACAGAATGTGTTCCCTCTATCTTTTTTGATCATATAAGTCATGATATCTTTTTTTTTAACATAACAGCCAATGAAAACTTCCATTTATTATTAAGGCCCGACTAAGAGCCCTGAATCCTAATGAGTCTCTGCTAACCTGGGCGAGTAGATGACCGGTGTTGGATGCAGGGGTTGAGGCACGACAGGCGGCGGCACCACTTCTGGGGTGAGGGTCACGGCGTCGAGCGTTTGGGACGCACACAGCATCTGGTTCACACTGCTGTGGATGGGAGAGACGTGGAGAGGCCAGGTGTTCCCAAGCGACTCCTCCACGGCGATGGTCTCCTCTTCCTTCCTCTCCGTCAGCGGAGCCTCCCTGCATGGCTCAAAGTTGCAGGGCTCATCCTTCTCCTGCTCTTGGTCAGGATCGGTGGACGAAGCCGCAGTGGCGGCGGCCGTGTCGGGCTGTGACATGGCAGAGCTGTACATGGACTCCCCCAGCGGTCGGCTGGTGTCGAAACAGTCTGGGAGAACAATGATGTAGTCGTCGCTGGAGGAGACAGAGGACGTTTGGCTGCTGACCTGAGGTAGAAGAGGAGTGAGGCTTTTAGGCTTTATACAAGTGCTGAAACATCTTTGTTTTTTTAAGTGTTAATGCAGTTGCATTCGCTGATCACAATCAACCTGCAGCAACTTTTGGGTGATAACTTTCATATGCATATTAACCAAATACATAAAAGTTAAAGCTTTTAAAGGAACAGCTGCTCGGAGAGTCAGAGGTGTAAAAGCAGATGGCTGCATCCGCCCGTTACGGCTAAAATCCTCCCGCTAAGTCCCCCCTTCGGGCAAGTGGCTTTCACATTTCATTTGTCCAGAAACAATTTTTACTTGCCCAGTATAATGTTTGATAAATATAGTTCCTAATATTCATTTTTGTATATATATCAATCCAACATGTTTGTTTTTTAAATGTTTTTTTGTAATTCAGTAAGTTTCCAGGTTCCTGGTGTGTATATGCATGCGTCAGATAATGAACTCAAGCCTAAATTACCATGTTAACATGCTTTTCAATCCTTCCTGCACATTCTTTTCAAACTAAACTTTGCTTTAAACTGTTGTGTGCTTGGAAAAATATAAGTTGTAATGTTAAAAATCTAAAAAAGACTTGACAGGTTAAAAACTTACACTACTACTACTCACCAATTTAACATGTTTAGCTCTATAACATTTGAATGCACCACTCCAATGTCTAAGAGAAAAAAATGTAATACATTTTTTAATGTATGACCACTGTACAGAAGACTGCCATATGATAGAAATACTTACACTGTGCGCATACAATTATTATTATTATTTTCCTAATCCCTGACTGATCATTTTTAATCTAGCGTGTATTATAGTATAGATTAAATTGATCATTCAGCTGCTGCTCTGCAGAATTCTCTCCCCAAGAGCTGAATCACGCCATCTAGCGGAAAATCACTCAGCTTTTTCAAATCACGCGAGAATGTGTACAAAACAACAAAATTGCGCCGGCAACGCTTGTGGGTCGTTTTCAGCGAATGTCGGTGATTTTAAAGTAATTTTGAGTGATAAATATATTTTTTTGCGATCATTGTACTTGCCCGGCGGGCAAATGCAATGAAATTTGTACTCTCCCGACAATAAAAACTACTTGCCCCGGGCGATGGTTAACATCGAGCTCTGGATGATGAGGACTGGTTGAAATTTCACAAGAAGTAAGAGTGGAAACGAAATCCTTCTGCTCAGATGATGGTCTTCATGATGCAGACCTGCTCTATAATGCAGGGGATCCCAAAGTGGAGATCGGAACCCCGGGGGGGGTGCAAGAAGTATATGGAGGCCAAAATGAATAATAACGTATGAACACGAATGTCCAATTAAATCAATACATTTATTTATTTATCTGATACATAATTCAAATATTACATATAATTGAATTGTAAAATGTACCATTAAATATTAAAAATAAATTTAAAGTGTTAAAGTATTTAAAGAATACATTCATTTTTAAACTTAAAATTTTATTGTCATTTTGTATTCACAGTTTATACATAACGAAATTTGGTTTTGTAAAGCTTTCAGACAGTGAATGAGCAGCAGCTTAGCAGTATAAAAACCTAATACAAATGCTTAATTTATATATAAATAAATATAGATTGAAGTAATTATATCTGTTTACAGGCGATTGTCATTCTTCTGAGTTTTTTTTTTTTTTTTTTTGGTATCTCAGGCTGAGATGTTTGGGAACCCCTGCTCTAATGTAACAGAACAGCTGGATCTTTACTGAGATCTGATGACACACCGGTCCATTTAACCATTACCAGATGTTAAACATTGATTCGAGTTTTTCCTCTCCACTCTCACTACAAGCATGTTTGGTATGAGGGATTGCCTTCGAATCAATGAGTCGATTCAATCAACTAGTTTGACTGCGATCTGGTTGGATTGTCTCTGTAAAGTGCCTCAAATGAAATGTGTTGTGAATTGGTGCTATATAATTAAACTGAAGTGAATTAAATTGGTTACACTTGATTTGATTCGGGTACATCCAGAACACACGTTTGTTCCCAGTTATATTCCACCTTTCGTTGTTAATCAACATGATAAATGTTATTCAAAGGTTTAAAGCGCGTTGGAAACATCACCTCATCCCAGTCTTCTCTGGTTCTGCCTTCTTCTTTCTCGCAGTCCTTTTCCTTCATGTTCTGCATGGCATGCAAAACCTCTTTGTCTTCGTTATCTTGATGGGAGCTGACGGTGAGGTTTTCATTTTCAGCTCCAGGCTCACGATCTACCAAGGAGAAAGAAACAAAATAACCAGCTTGGTTGCAGTTTTGACAGCGGTAAGAAAGTATTAAAATAAAGGGAAATTTGAGCTATATTGCTCACTTTGTCTGGAGTCATCCTCTGCCTGGGTCGTTTGGTTGAAGTCTACGTTTGCAGGCGGAGCTAAACTCTGGATTCTATCAGCATTCATCTCTTCCTGTTTAATTCTGTCCTTCTGTTTCTCCTCAACCCCAAGTGGCCTCTCAAAGCCAAAGCCTGGTCCCCGGGTAACAACTGCAAATGTTTAACAAAGGTAAATGGAAATTAAATTTAAGCGACAAGCTTGAGCGATAAACACAGAGAAGAAGTGACCGTGGCACCTCACCCTGCGGTTTGAGGCTGCTGTGCTTGGCTCGGCGCGGAGGCCTGTGGTCAGGGGCTTCCTCCAACGTCAGGGAGCGGATCACAGTCTCACAGAGAAACTGAGCTCCACTGATCTCCTCTTCCTTCTCCTCTTCTTGCGCTACAGGCTCTGACACGTCCTTGGGCCTCAGTTTGACTCCTTGGGAAAATACAGCAAATGTAAGAAAGACAAAATAGATGTAGGTATTAGATTTCCCCTTGTCTTAAATCTATAGGGGGCCTGAAGGCTTCAAGATAAAAAAAGCTATAAAAACCATATATTTTTGTTGACTTCTCAAAACATTTCTGTGTTGATTTAGCCAAATGTTTTCAGTCAGCGTCCTGCAGTACGACCTCGTTGTGACGGTTTAGTTTTTGGACATAGACAAACAGATTTTTTTGAAATTATCTGGCATTTCAAAAAGTCCTAGAAGCTTCGAGCTTTTAAAATTATTACAAGGGCCCACAGCATCACACGTCCTTCACAGATATCAGCAGGGGAAACAGGAGCTTTTCTGGTTATTGTTCAGCCAAGACCCACACCCTGTTTATCTCAGGAAAAAAATGTGTTCAGAACTTAAACTAAAATCCTAATGTTCAAAAACTAGTTTTTGCTGACTGTTTTTTTTTTTCTGGATTAATCACATTATTATTATTATTTTGGAGCAACCGTTATCAGAATCAATCTGTCTAAAGTGATGTGTATGTACAAACGAAGCTGTTCATGTCAGTAAGTGTTAATGGGTTTTTGTTTTTTGTTTTCAGGGACTAAAAGCGAACAAAAACCACACGTCTCCTCCTGAATCAGAGATTTGACAGTCAGCCGGAATCTCCTCTCCAGCACCCTGGCATAGGCCTTCCTGGGGAGTCTGATCCCCTTATAATTGGAACACGCCCTCCGGTGCTCCTTCTTATGCAGGGGAACCACCACCCCAGCCTGCCAAGCCAAAGGCACCGTTTCCAACCTCCATGCAATGTTGAGAAGGCGTGTCAGCCAAGACAGCTGACAACATCCAGAGATCTGAGCTACTCAGGGAGGATCTCATCCACACGCAAAGCCTTGCTACCAGGGAGTTTTTTGACCACCTCAGTGACTTTAGCCTTGGGGAAGTCACTGAGACACGCCTGCTGAGACATGCCTGATGACACGCCATCTGGGGTGGCGTGTCAGCAGGATATAACAGCTCCTCAAAGTATCCCTTCCACTGCTCAAAGATGTCAGCAGCTCCCCACTCCCACTGAAAACTGTGTTAGCGAAGCGCTGCTTCCCCATACAGATGCACCAGACAGTTTACCAGGAAGAAAAAAAATGGAGCTTTATTGTAGAAAGTTAACAAAGCTCATCTTTTTGTTAATTGACTATAAAGAAAAAGATTTACAGAAAGATTTAAAAATGATCTTTCTTTAGTAGTCAGTAGCACATCTCACCAAAAAGTTTTCGGACTCCGGTTGCCTCCGACTCTTCCTTCGTCTGTGAGGTCATCGTCCTTTCCAGCACTGATGCATCATGGGGGAGGGGGGATATGCAAGGTGTCAAAGCTAAAGTGAAAACAGAAAGACAAAACAAAGCTTTGTATTTGACACAGCCAAAAAAGGAACTCAAGAGTTGAGTTTACAGCTAATTAGTTTGCCGTTTTGAGAACTTTTGACTCACCGACAGGAGTGTTGTTGGGAACCTTCTCCAACTCTTGCACAATATTTATGTCCAGCAACTCAAACGACAGCAGATCCTGCAAATAAACAAAGAACAATGAAAGGTTACGTTTATTTAAAATGATAACAGAGACATTTTTCAGGTGACATTGTGTTTTCAGATCTAATCTGCCTTGATGAGGAACATTTCAGCTAGTTGCTCTGAAACCTTCAGTGGGTTTGAACCTCTCTACTGCTTAGGATCCATCTGATGGAAGAATCATCCATTAATCCCATAGAAAACGGTTTAGACCACAATCCACCCTCCTTTTGGAGTGCTTTATGACCATATCTAAATCTATATTAATAAAACAAAACAACAATGGTAATTAGGGATGGGACTCAAAAAATGGGTTCCTGTTCAGAACCGGTTCTGTGTTTCCCAATTCCACGGCACCGTTTGGCAGCTCGCTTAATGGTTCCCTTAAAGGTTCCACGCAGCAACAGAGCCTAGCGCTGGGCAGCACGACTTAGGTTACGTTTTTTATGCAAGTTATGCACACAGCATTCAGTTAGCCAGTACAACGTGACCAGGCGTAAGTCTAGAAAGCAAAACAAAAGCGGTAAAGCGATCGAAAGATTGGATTCATTTTAAAGAAGACCAAGATGGCAACGAGGTGCTTTGCAATCATTGCAAAAGAGCCAATTACATCTGCGGGAGGAAATACATCCAACATGCAGAAACACCTGCGCACACAACATGGCATACATTTTAACGAATGCCGTGTTTTTGATGCTTCCGGACAGAAGCTAAAGTTACGACCAGCATGGAAGGCAACTCTGGTGGTTAGTAGCTAGTTTTATATCACTGGCTGTGCTTAATGTGGTTCCTAGTAAATCTTCTGCCATTTCTGGAAATAAACGAATTTCCTACCTCTCTTTGGGGTTATTAAACATGTTGTGAAGTTGCACCGCAGTTCAGGGAGCCAGAGAAAGGTGACACTCGTTTATTTAAATCAGGGGGAGATTAGTTTATTTTCCGAAATTTTACAGTAATGCTTTTTCATTAAACGGAGGCCTTCTCCATTAGATTTAGATGACTGTGACGAGACGGGTAGCCTGGCTGGCTCAGAGGCTGGCTGCACCTTCTGTTTTCTCTGAGGCTAAGGTAGACGAATGTCACTGTGAACTTACCAAGTTCATTGTTTCACAGAATCAATAAGAGAATCGATAAAGAATCGAATCGTTTAACAGAACTCGATAAGGGAATCAGAATCGTGAAAATCCTAGCAATTCCCAACCCTACTGCTAATTTAATCAGCCACATGAGAAATAACCTCTCCCTAGAAAAGTGAGAATGACTAAAAGTAGAACGGGAGTTAATCCAATCTGCAGACACATATTTTTTGGTAGATGCATCATCAAAACCTGACAGAATGAAAAACAAGGATCAACTTTTGATTTTTTTATGTGATTCTGATTACATGTTCTTCACCAAATAATACATTAAAAAAATAATCTGTGTTTAAGTGTAGAAACAAGCCGGTGAGAACGCAGCAGCAAATCGGAAGTAAAATTGCTTTTGGAGAGAATTTAAAACCAAAAAGATGAAAGGGGGAAAAAAAAGAAAAAAAGCTGAGCTGCTGACAGATATCTTCATTTTGGCTTATTTTGGTTGGATGAATGCGTGACTCTGACAGCCTGACAGAACGTTTCTTATTGGAGGTTTCTGAGTGAGCACCTGTGCCGTCAGGAGATCCACTGATGGAAAGTAGAAGTCCTCCTGGGGGAGGTCTACAGGGAAGGCAGATCCGCTCTCTTTTGGAGTCGTCTCCCTCTCTGCTGCCTTTCCCTCCTCCTTCTGAAAAAAAAAAGCAGGATCATTAGATCTCAACATTGTACTGATTATCAACCATACTTCACCTAACAGGTTTTTTTTATTACATTAATCAATACGTCTTCAAATCCACTTTTAGGTTTATAAAACAAAGCTGGAAACAAAGAATGGTCATTTCCTATAATTCTTTTAGATTTCAGTCTTCAGTTACTCTCCCAAACTTTAACTTCTAAAGACAAACAAAACTTTCTGGACAATTTCCTTTTTTTTTGTTTTCTCCAAGGACATTTAAGTTTTGTTAACTGGAATAATTTGAATTGCACTAATAGCACTGTTGAAAAAAAAAAAAATATAGCCCAAAATAATTTTTCTTTCCCTTCAAATCAGCAGGATATTTATAAACATCTATAATTATTTTACTGAATGACTTTTAATAATTTTCCCTTTTGGACTTTGGCTGCGGGCAGCATGGTGTTTCAATGGGTAGCATTGCTAACTTGCAGCAAGGAGGTTTTGGGTTTGATTCCCAGCCCAGGGTCTTTCTGCATAGTGTTTGCATGTTCTCCCTGTGAATGCTTGGGTTCTCTCCGGGTACTCCGGCTTCCCCTCACAGTCCAAAAACATGACTGTTAGGTTAATTGATTTCTTTATATTCTCCTTAGGTGTGAGTGTGAATGGTTGTGTTTGTCTCTGTGTTGCCCTGCAATGGACTGACGACCTGTCCAGGGTGGACCCCACCTCTCGCCTGTAGACAGCTGGAGATGGGGCACCAGCACCCCTCGTGACCCCAAAAGGGATAAGCAAGATGGAAAATGAAGGAATGGATTTTGGTTGCTGTGTTAAACCAGTTTTCAGTCCAGTTTCTGATCATAATCAACAGAATCCTATACTGTATGTCAGTAAGCTGTTAAACTAGAATCTATGAGCCAAATAAGTACGAAAATTATCATAAGGTTAGAGTATTAACCACTGTTGTATCTATGCATGACGAGTAACTTTGGTCCCCTTTGCACCAGGGTTAAACCACTCTCAACCACAGGACCTTAAAGGTTGACCAAGAACTGCTGGATTTGAGAAAATTTTGAAGTTTTTCCTCTGCTGCTTTCTGAGCATATCCCACTGCCACCACGACAGAGATGACCCTCTCTGCACTCTGGTCTTTTCCTCACGATCTGTGAACTTCTTTTAGATGTCTATGTAGCCCTCAGCTCCTAAGTCCTTTTAATTTGACGGGCCACGCCCTGTGCGACATCACCCCAACTCTATTTACCTGCGGAGTCAGAGTGCCACTCCCTCCTCCATTCCCCACCTGTGGCTGTTGCATGCTCTGTTGGCGTCTCGTTTCAAAAAAGTTACTGGATCTTCCTAAAGATCTAATATTATAACCTGTCTTTTGGACTCGCTTCTCTCTCACAACTTGGGCCAAACCGCTCATGTTGTCTTTCATTAATACCACTACACAGACGGAGATCAACTTGTCATCCCTTCAACGGTCAGGTTTTTTTTTTATGCCAGAAAAAGGACATCACCCTCACTACAATCTGGTTCACAACAACTTTTTCTTCTTCTAATTCAACTGAAGATGGCGAGCTAAGACCTCTACCTGTGCGGTAGGATACAGACTCTTCTTTCCTATAAGGATAAAAACTATTCTCTTCTCAACCCTGGATTACCATAGCGTATGGACTAACAATCTAACCTAACTGAACCTTGGGGACAATTACCGGTAATCAAATACTGTTTTGTTATTAATGTTTGTGTGTTTGTTGTTTTTTTTGTGTGTGTGTCTTGGCCACTTTAATACAAAACTAGTTAAACCTCATTTTTGTCTCTGTGATTATTCACACCTCGGGCTCCTCAACGAACCCTCTTCTGGTAACATCTTTCTACATCTATATAGTCAGTTCCTTGTCATTAGCCTTTAACAAGCGTTACATCTATCAGAGGTTTCTGCATGTCCACCATCAGTTTTGGCAATCATTTTAACCCAATGCATTTTAGGTGTGGTCATACTGCTGCCATAAGAGCTACGCAGAGAAAATATGAATGCTTCCATCTGATCACTATGAGCTGAACACAGAGGCTTTGAATCTTTGCTGTTTTTCTGGAGTCATGCTGTCACCCAGCAATCAGCCTATATGCATTACCAAAGTGTATTCAGTCATTTGGATGGAGAGCCAATGGCCTTAAGGAAAGGATAAGGACTGATTCAGGTGAGAATCATTTCAGCTGCTTGTAAAATAGTTTTGGTTAAGTTAGAATTCAGCGATACAATGAAGCGCATTAGCCTGCTAGATGTTGTCCGAATGAGGCTTTAGTTCTGCATGTTAGGCCGACCACGCTCCATATTCTAGTGACTAATCCATACTGGTTTTGCTCCTTCTAGCCCATCCAGCTCAACATTTAAGACCCAGATAGAATATAACCAATCGAATCAACACAGTCTGAAAACTCTTAGGTTCTGTGATGCATTAAGTGAAGCTGTATTCTTAATGCAGCCTATAGGACCTCACTAGTTCCTCTGTTAATTTCTAATGAGTGAGAATCAGGTCTGATGTGAAGGAGAACACAGCAATGATTCACCTTTAAATTAAATATTCAAGCATTTCATTAAGAGATTACCATCTCTGACCCAACTATTGCTTACGGATAATAATGTTTCATTGACTTTGCAATTAAAAAAAAAAAAAAAGTAAAAAAAAAACAAACAAACAATGCACTGGACTTCGTTTTCAAGTTTGAAGACGTTTTAATTCCCATCCAGGAAGTTTTTTTAATTCAAAATGTCAGGAATAGTGTTGTGTTTGAGGCTATGTTCGACTATGTTTCGACTTTGTAAATAATTTGTTTCTATAAAACACAATTTGAATATTGAAATTATTATTGTAGCAGAAACAAGATGCCGAACAACTAACAAAGATTGGTCGACTAAATTAATCTTTGCTGGATTTTTTTCCTTCCATTAGATTAAAACTGGACTTTTAGTATGATAATATGGGCAGATAGTTTTTTTTTTAGTGGAGATGTACGGCTAGGAGCTTCAGAATGCCTGCAGAGCTGTTCTGTATTAGTTCAAAGGTTCATAGGAAACGCGGCCTCCGAAAATATGATATTTTATATTTATATTTATCTAAATATATGTAAAGAGAAGCTGATGTAGGTGAGGTCACTGAGTAGGAGACTTGCCGGTCGTTTGCTTTGATGGCCGAGCCCGTTCCGGCTGCTGCCAGAGTCGACCACAATGCTGCACCAGACCCGCGGGCCGAACTGACAGCCGCAGTGCGCCAGTCGCCAGTGGGAGGTGTACATCCCCTCCATGACGGGAGCGACAAAGGCCACGCTGACCACGCCCACTTGTCCTGGCAGGAGCAGGGGCACTGGGACCTCCCTCCTCTCCTCTGACGCCAAGCCGAGGTTTCCCCACATGAATACTAACTGCATACACACAAACACACACAGAACAAAAAAATAGGAACGCACATGCGAAAAAGCACAAGGACAAAAAGGATGCAACCAGAATAAACACAACAGAAATAAACATTTTAAACAAAGACTTAAAAACTTAAATCACAACATAAATCTAACTGGATTAAATAAGAGGAACCCTGGATAAATGCAGATGCAGCTAAATTAATTGGAATGTAAACATTTACTTCAGCGTTTTCATTCAGAAAGAGGAACTTAAACAGATCCATTCCACCGTGGAAGATTATATTCAAGCTTTTATTTTATACGTTTGGATAATTATTGCTTACAGCTAATGAGAAAACAAAGTTCATACTAATATTATGAACGCAAACAGATCCAAGAATAAAACAAAACAGAAAATTACTTTTTTTTTGGTTTGAAGTCCTTATTTGGCCTTTTAAAAAAATATGTAAAAAGAAAAAAAGAAATACATTTTTGATATTAATAATTTATTACAATGCGATAAGTCAAGATTATTTTTTGTGTAGTCTTCTGCCCTCTGTTATCAGATATATCTGATTGTGTACAATAGGATTTTGAGCAAAGTTTTTACCATTAAATTATGCAAAAGGTGTCAGACGCAAAACCGTATGCATCAAATATGATACATTTGGCATTACAGGGTTAAACCGTTTGATATAACCAAGCATATTATTGGAAAGTTTGGCGGAAGGAAAAAGTGTGATAAAAGAAATAACTTGAGGTGATTGCAAAGATTCAAAAGTAGTGGACTGTGACTGAGTCTGAGCTTTAAGAGCTGAAAACTCCCACATCACTCGTTTAAGCCACTTAAGCTAGACACTTCTGAGTGAGAAGTATCCAATCTTGGGGGGAAAAAAGAAAAAAAAAAGATAAAAAGGACTTAGCTGTTGAGATCCAAGGTCCTTTCTTTGGCTGAAAGAGGAATTTCATTTGGACAATCATGGACCAGAGTCTAGAGTAAGAATCAAGTTGCTTCATCGTCATCATAGAGCGCTGCCGCGCCATGAAACCTGCTGCTGTTGATGCGGGATTGCTGTCAGTCAACGCAGTGTTCTAACAGAACATCATTTTAGAGCGATGCACATGTCCCTCTGGTAATTTCCTTTTCCTGCAGCTCCAGACACCTCCCTACCTCCAAAAAAATAGCTTATTTAACAGTTATGATATTAATAGGGTTATGGCTCGATTTGGTAGCAGATGAAGCAAATCCCTTATTACATTCCGCCATGTTCACTGGAAAAAATCTAAATCTAGATCAGTAATTTTTTCTTAAAATAAGTGCATTTGTTCTTGGATTAAGGAGGTAAAAAAAGAGACATTTTGCCAATGGAACAAGACAATTTACACTTAAAATAAGAAAACACAATTGCATTCTCTTATTTCAAGTGCATACTATCTAAATATCTTATTTTAAGAGTAAAAATACTTATTGGCGAACTCTCATTTACCTTCTCAAATTAAGGGTAAATACACTTAATTTAAGACACTTTTTATTATTTCTAGATCATTTTTCCAGTGCATTGCGAAAGTTAACTAGAAATAAGTAAAAATGTCTTAAATCAAGTGTATTTAACCTTAATTTTTGTAGGTAAATGGGATGATTTGCCAATGGATTAAGTATTTTTGCTCTTAAAATAAGGTAATTAGATAATATGCACTTGAAATAAGACAATGCAGTTGCTTTTTTCTTATTTTAAATATAAATTGTCTTGTTCCATTTGCAAAGTGTCTCAGTTACCTCCCCAATTCAAGAACAAATGCACTTAATTTAAGAAAAAATTACTTCTTTAGATTTCCATTTTTTGCAGTGTACCCAGGTCCAAACTGGGATCAAATGAAGTTAAAATATTATTCCTTTTTAATAAAAGCCTTATTTTAATTGTCCTGATGAAAAGTTGTGTTCTCATTAGTTGTAAGCCGTTACCATTAAAATACTCACTCTGTGGCGTGAATAAATCTAATATAGACCCTTTTTCAGTTGAAACACAGAAACAAATGAAATTTTGAAAGATATCGGTATTTACTGAGACGCTCCTGTGATCTTAGTAGATTTTAGTAAATCAAGAGAGGAAAAGTTGAGAGAATAAAAGTGGAGATGAAGAGGGGACATAGAGAGAGATGGAGACAGAGAGGAAGGGGGGAGCCTGGTCTCTCGTTGAGTGGGGGGTGGGGGGGTACCTTGGTCTCTGAGGTCCAGCTGATTGTGCCCGAGTTCTTCATCTTCCAGTATTTGATGAACTTGGTACCAGGCTCCAGACGGGTGTTATCAGGCAGATTTTCATCCAGAAACAAGGCAGCCATAGTGGGCACCAAGGACGTGTGCGAGACCCCGGGACCCCTAGTTTCAAGTGTACAGAGCATTGTTGAAAAAAAGCCCTGGTTTCTCTATATTACGCATCTCTTTTGTTTCTCTATGAATCAAAAAAAAGCAGGACCCCAGATTTTTTTTTTTTTTTTTTGCAGCTCAAAAGCAAATTTTTTTTTTTTTTTAGAAAATATATGAAGCAGCAGCAGCAGTTTTCACATTGAGGTAGTTCCAACATTTGCCACCACCCCAGAGCAGCCAGCGAAAACACTCATACAGACTAGATTACAAAGATGGCATATTTTGATTTCTTTTTTTCTTGGAAAAAAAAAAAAGACTTTTTGCATCCATGCTGGGCTAGAGGTACCCAGCACTGTCGGACGCCCTTCCAAGGTGGCGCTTACTCTGGACTGGAGGCCTGGGGGTCGGGGACCGGGGCTGGGATGTGACCTGGGTCTGTGGCTGGACTTGGGGCCGTTTCTGAGGCAGCGGGAGGAGGCAGCGCCGGGAACTGGGTGGACGTGGAGGCCATGTTTGTCAGGCTGGCTCTGTCTGAGGTAGAAGGTCCGCTCCACTGCAACCCCCTCTTCTCCAGCCTCAGTTTCTTCTTGATTTCCTTCACCTCTGCTTTCAGCTGCCTTCTTTCAGCTTTGAGGCGCTGTCTCTCAGCCTTGCGCACAGTCCTGTCTCCTCGCCTTGGGAACCTGGTTTAAAATGTCATCAGGAACACCTATTTGTTGACTATCAAAGGTTTACTTTCCAAAAAAACAAACAAAAACAAAAAACAGCACACATATTTTGCCTTGTCTTCGTCTTTAATAATGTAGATTTCTACAACAACAACTAGAACTTTCTTTTAACTCTAGCTGGATGAGCCTCAGTTTTTAAAGGTTTACCTAAACTCTCCCGACATTCCGTGCTCGGGGATGGAGAGAGGCGTCTTGGTTCTCACCAGGCTGTGGCTCGGATCATGGCTGTGTCTGCACATCTCGCACAGGATGCAGGATGGGCACACGCTGGGAAGAGACACGACAGAAATAATTTAACATACTTAAGTTTTGAAGTTTAGAAAAATCTAATATAGTTCAGATGATCACAAAAAACTTTTTTAAACAATGATTTCATTTCTGACAGGGAGCTATTAAAACAGCTTGTTTAAAATGTATGTTACCCTTAATAATTAATAAATGCACATTTATTGGAGAACTAGAAAAAAACTATAATAGATCCTGTGTGACAAGCCGGTGTCAGCTGAAAGCCATCAAAAAAAAACAACATATCAGGCCTGGATTTGGGAAAACATGAGACA